CCACACAATCCCAAGTTTCCTGCATAAGAATCATTTGAAAATGTATTGAACTGTTTGCCCTCTGGTATTTGTCCCACAAGTTTGTTGTGCGAAAGGTTTAACATTTCAAGCGATGTCAGATCCAACAACTTCTCAGGAATTTTCCCAATAAGTTCATTGGAAGAAAGGTCCAACCATTTAATGTTTCTCAAAGATCCCATTGATGGTGGGATACTCTCCACAAGGTTATTAATGGAAAAGTTGAGACCTTTAAGCCACTTGAGCTCTTCAATGGTTGTGGGAATTTTTCCACTGAAATTATTTGTCGAAAAAATCAATGGTGGTGAAGGTTCAAAATCAAAGGTTATGTACCCATTGGTACTTTTAAAGCCCTCCAAACTTCCACCTCAATCATGATCACAATAGCCTTGAAGCTCTTGTTTTTCAGCTTTACAAAACTTTAGTCCATAGCTCAAGGTACCTTTAATATACCCGAGTACTCTCTTAACAGCAACTAAATGATTCTCAAAGGGATTGTGCGTAAATCTAGAGAGTAAGCTAGTGGCATACATAATGCCAGGCTTTGTAGTCGAGGGATATAGAAGACTACTAATCAACTTTCTATAGAAAGTTTCATCTAGCTCAACACCTCCATCATCCTTATTGAGCTTGCTACCATAGGCTAGAGGAGTTGCTATTGCTCTGTAATTCTCTATTCTAAATTTCTTCAACAAATTAAAAGCACATTGCTTTTGATGCAGTAGGATAAAATTTGAACATTGGTGAATTTGCATACTAAGGAAATAAGACATCTTTCCTAAATCACTCATCTCGAATTTAGTCTGCATCTTAGCTTTAAATTCATCCACAAACTCATCATTAGGTCTCCTAATGAGCGTGTCATCTACATAAAGAGATATAAACTTAATACAGTTACCTGCATTTTTCACGTATAGTGTCTGCTCACTGAAACTTTTACTGAACCCCTGACTTTGCAGGTAAGTATCCCTCTTTTCATATCATGCTCTTAGGGCTTGCTTGAGACCATAGAGATTTTTTATTAGCTTGCAAACCTTGTTCTTTTTGCTTGGTTCAATAAATCCTTCAAGTAGTTCCACATAAATGTCTTCATCAATGGTACCATTGATAAATGCTGGCTTAATGTCTAGGTGCCATGTTGACCAACGTTCCTTAACTGCTATTGCCACCAGTAGCCTGATGGTATCATGCTTGGCTACAAGGGCAAAAGTCTGAAAAAAATCAACACCATATACTTGTGAAAACCCTTTGACTACCAATCTGGCTTTATGCTTGTTAATAAAGCCAATAAAGTTGAGTTTGGTCTTATACACCCACTTAACTCTGATAACTTTCTGATTCTTTAGTCTATTAACCAAGGTCCAAGTGTTGTTCTTCTTTATCATCATGATTTTAGCCTTCATTGTCTACTTCCAGTGCTCATTTGAAGTGGTTTCCAAACAACAGCTTGGTTCAATGATGACTACATGGCATCTGTCGTACACATCTTGAAGTGATCGTGTTCTTTTGACAAGAACTTCATCAACAATTTCATCAGGTGCCATGTTTTCTTCAGTATCAGATATGACATTTACTACAACTTCTTTGTTTATAGCAGTTTCAATTACACTAGTGTCCCAATTCCACTTAGCATTCTCATCAAACCTAATGTCCTTGCTTAGAGATAGCTTTCTTGTGTTGACATCCTGTAACCTGTAGCCTTTTGAAACCTCACTATTGCCAAGATGAACTACAATCACTGATTTTTCATCAAGCTTGAATCTTTTGAAATTAAGTATCATTCCATAACAAATACAACCAAAAACTCGAAGATGAGTTATAGCAGGTTTGATGCCGATGCCAAACCAGGTTTCATAAGGAGTTTTGTTGGTCAAAGACTTAGTTTGGGTTATATTTAGCAAGAAGTTGGCAGTATTTGCAACTTCTGCTCATAAAAACTTAGGGAAGCTCATCTTAAATAACAAGCATTGAGCCATTTCCATAACAGTCTTGTTTTTCCTTTTAGAAACCTCATTCTGATGGGGACTATAAATCACAATAACCTGATGAACTATACCAAACTGAAATAAATCTCAAATTCCTTAGCACTGTATTTAGTCCCATTATCACTTCTTAGAACGTCTATAGTTAAACTAGCCAGATTTTCAACAACTTCTTTAAACTTCACAAAAGTAGCTGAAGCTTCAGACTTGTGTTTTAGAAAATAAATCCAACTGAAACATTTGAAATCATTAATAAACAATAAGGAAAACTTACTTTCATTCTGAGACGAAGTCTTCAAAAGGCCTCCAATGTTTGTATGCACCAACTGTAGCTTCTGTGTTGCTTTCCAGCTCCTATTCTTTGGAAATGCAATTCTGCTTTACTTTCCAAATTGACAGGTACTACACAATCTATCAGGCTTTGAAATGTCAAGAAGACCATCAACCAAGTTATGCAAAACAATTTGCTTCAGATAAGAATGGTTCACATGACCAAATCTCCTTTGCCAAAGTTGATCAATAGTTGAAGTACACTTATAAGCAACATACTTGACTTTTGATCAGTTAAGAAGGAAACATTTGTTTCTCATATTTACTATAAATGGCTCCTTTCCAGTAAAATCTTTTATATTACAAGCCTTGTCCTTAAAATCAGCTTATAGTTACCATTTATGAGTTGCCTAACACACAATAGATTCTGACTTATTTTTGGTGTATAATAAACATTTAAATTTGACTTCAAACCATCAAGAGTCTGCACTCCAACAGTGTCAATCCCATAAATCAACCAAGAGTCACCATATTCAATCTTCATTTTGGTCCTGAAGCTACCATCAAATTCTAGAAATATAGTCTTACAACCTATCAAGTGATTTGAACATCCACTGTCCAGTAACCAAGTATCTTTTCTGTCATTTTTGTCAGCTTACTTTGCCATAAATAGAACATCATCTTTTGAATTATCCTTTTATTCAACAATTGCAGCTCTGTCTTCAACCTTACCATCTTAATTTTTGCAAACTTTTTCAACATGGCCATGTTGGTCATAAGCTCTACACTTAGCATTCGATTTATACTAGTAACAGCTTTCAGTATGATTGATTTTTTTTGCAATAAGAACAAGGTGGAAAGTTTTTTTTTTTTAGATCTCCTTGTCTCTTATCACCACTTTTCTTGCCTTTATCTTTCCTATCAATCCTTGATTTTCTTTGAGAACCATTACTAGATCTCCTATCTGAGTTTCTTGCCATTAAGGCTCCCTCAACAACAGCATTACTCCTAAGAGCTCTTTTCAATTCTTGAGTTTAAAGGGCATTCAACAGCTTAATAACAGATATTGACCTTAAATCCTTAAAGTCCCCTAGTGAAGAAATTTTCCCTTCAAATCTTTTACGCAAACTGATCAAAAACTTATTAATAATTCATTTTTCAGAAACCTTTTCCCCCTTCAGCCTTAAACGATTTACTCTCTCAAGAACTTTATCAAAGTATTCTAACACAGTCTCATTAGCCGTCATTCTCATAATTTCAAAGTCTCTCCATAGGTTCAAATCCTGCATCTACCTATTCCTATCACTACCATGAAACTTTTTTTTTTTTTAGCTTATCCTTAGCCTCCTTAGGTGACTTACAGTTCATGATTCTAGCAAAGATAAAATTAGAAATAACAGAGTGAATCACAGAAAAAGCTTTGTACCTTTTAGCTATTTCCTCGTTATATGCTGCTTGAGCTGAGCAATGGTAAGATTTACTATTTTCAGAATTGGAGGATCTGTATTTGCTTCCATAATATCTGTAAGTCATATGCTCTAAGATAAAGCCTTCATCTTAATGGCCTAAATAGGATAGTTCTTTCTTGTGAAAGTAAAAGGAGCCGTGACACTTAAACTTGAAGTAGCCATTGTAGCAACCAAAAAAAAAAAAAAGAGAGTTCCTCATAGTTTTTTAAGAACCATGTTAAGCTCTGATATCATGTTAGTTTTCTAATAATATTTTTCCTATGAGTACAAAGCTATAATAATGGAGTTCAAGGCAATTCAGAGTGGAAAAAATAAATTGGAGAAAAAGACTATATTATATTAATAGCTAAAAAAGCCTAATGTATGTAACATGGCCATGTAATGCACTAATAGATAGCCAAAATAACAAAAAATTAAATGAATAAAAAGAAACAAAATAATAAAAAAAGTAAGCAACAGTAAAGTTTTGGAAAATATTAATTTTCAATACTCTGTGCTTAATAAAATGACATCATACAGCTAATTTATTAGTGTTACTTTCAATAAAAATGACATTTTTTTATTTTACGAGAATTACATTGAAGAATCAAAATCACATTGCAGTCCCAATTTTATTTTATTATTACTGAGTAAGAAGTTAGAATTACTGACCTCATTTGCAGGATTTTTTGTTTTAGTCCACCAGTCCTATTTTACATAAATTAAGTCACCAATTGAGGCTAAGGTCAAGGATTTTACATAAAAAGTACTTCAATTTGCTTAGAAGATTGTTGAGTGCCATTATTAGTACAATTTTGTTGTTGATCGAGATCCAAGTCTTGTGAGATAATTTTTTTTTTTTTAAAAAAATATCTTTTCATGACTTATTTATCTAAAATTATAAAAACTTGTTAAAAATTACTATCCATTAACATAAATTAAAATATTATAATTAAATAAAATATAATTTTACATAACAAATTATCATGTTCAACAACGAACAATATAACAATTTTTTATTCATTGGTCAAAACTAAAGATAAATATTCACAAACCATATAAAGTTAAATATAAAAATTAAATAATAAACTAATATATTAAAAAAAAAGAGATGAAGAGCATGAGACAAGCCTTGATAGAAGAATAAACCATTTTGTAAAATATATTTTAAAATTATGTCACCAGCTTTTATTTTAAGGGAAAGCTTATAGAAGATGTGAATTTCAAAACTGGAGTCTCAGTCTCACTATTATCAAACCAAAATCTATCTACAAAAATGACAAAAGGAAATGTGCGGAATATTAAATTGCATGACTTTGATAAAATCAAATATTTTGTTTCAATGTAACTGACTACAACAAGCTTTGTTCCTTACTACCTATTGGCAGAACTCTTCATAAATCTGTTGTTTCATTCACTAATGTGTTGTTGCACAAGAGAACACACAAAAATGCTTCTGGCACCCCCTGTTATTTGCACCAACTTGCTTCATTTTTCACTTATGATGCTTTGGCTTTGGCGCGGTATGTACACAGACTACACCATCCAGAGAATTTCCTTCATTGCCTTGCTCGTTTTAATCTTTTTCCCCATCACATGGTCAATCGCCGATATTCTTCATGTCTATATGGCCTCGAAAAGAACTCGGTGCTCCAGAAGATCTGATAAAACACTTCTCATTTTATCAAGTGAAACAGGCTTCAATATGACACCATCCATACCAACCCTCATGCAGTTCTCTTTTGTTGCTTTGTCTGTATTTCCAGTAAGCGCCACTATTAAGGGCCTTTCATGGCGTTTTGTGAATTTCTCATGTATTTGGACAGCAATTTCATAACCATCCATGCCAGGTACACATACATCCATGAGAACAACCTTGTGCTCGTGAGAAACCACATGCAAACACTCGTCACTGGAGCTTGCCATTGTAACCTCGCACCCTAGATGCACAAGAAGCCCCTTAGTCACCATCCTGCTAACGCTGCATTACCCCCATAAAAATTCAATATTCATTCACATGGCATGCAAGAAAAAAAGTAGCCAGAAACAGGACAACAGAAAATCCAGAAAAGGCTTTACTTACTGAGTAGCAAACTACATTCTGTAAGTGTTCACAAAATTGGATTGAAAACTAACACAGAAAATCTTAAATCTTTTCCAATTTTAATTGAAATGTACTCTCAGACTTAAATTGACTCTAGCTATTAATTGCATAAATAGAACTCCAATTAGGAAGCTCACCCTATTTCTCAATCATTTGTATAAGCCTATCATCCGATAAGTTCTATTAAAAATCGGTTTCGTGAAAATGTTAATAATCTCTATGGCTGTGCAACCAAACAGTTTTACCATAATGTGCCGAGCAGGAATTGCATACAAATGCTGCACGTTGCTCCATATAAGGCATACAGTCATGTAGCCTAGGACATGTTCCGTTTTGAGGAGTGTACAAACCTTGCATTTTAAGTGGAGAGCAAAAGGGATCCCTCACTCATAAGATTCAATATTGTTAAAACTATTGTTCTACCACGAAGACTATGCAATCATAACAAAACCACTCAGAACTACAGATTTTCAATATTGCAAAGACTATAGCATAGATGAAAAAAATTTGCAGGTAATAGTAAGAAGCAAGAGTACCAGACAGATCTTACCATCTGTAACTAGAACTATGGGTCGAAAACATACTATTAAATGAATAAGGATTAAAATGAACACAATGGAACTGACCCGTTCTCATCCATAACCAGAACTTTAAGCCCAGAAAAAGAAGTATGCCCATGATTTGATGACACTTTAGGCATGAGGGGAAGTTTAGATTCATTCAAGCGTTCTGGGATCCCGAGTTTTACAATGAAGATAGCAGTACATCCCTTACCAAGGCCTTCAGTCTCAATCCAAATATGTCCCTCCATTAGATTTACAAACCTGATCATGTAATAAGAAGGGTTAAACATCATGAGAACAGCTAAAAATTCAAAGTACCAGTACAGAGGTTGATCCAAAGCCGCCTCTGTAGTCAACTCACTATAACCATAGCTGGGATGGCAAGTCCACAGAAAAAGTGTACCTCTTACAAATTGCAAGGCCTAGTCCACTGCCACCAGAATTTCGTGTTGCTGTTGATTGAGCTTGTGCAAATTTGGTAAATAACTTGGGAATATCTTGAGGGCTAATCCCTGCACCAGAATCTTTCACCTACACCAACAGCAAAGAAGCATACAAATTATCAACCTTTAACATAAGGTGATAGCAGCCTAAGGCAGAAGAATAAATTGGCAGCAATGGACAAACCTGTACACGCAAATAAAATTGATTATCACTAGGCACAGGCAAAAATTCAGGGGCTCGAGAATCTCTGAGTGATTCTGATTTAGCAACAAAAGCAGTGATTGAAATGCTGCCCTCCTTCGAAAATTTCACAGCATTACCAACAACGTTTAAAATTGTTTGCATCAGGCGCTTCTCGTCGCCAATGGCATATTCTGGCAAGTCTGGAGCCAAATTTAATGAAACATGAAGCTTTTTGACAGAAGCAATCGGCTTGATCAAGTCAAGTACCTACAACACACAAAATGCACATTACTAGAATGACAAACAACCACTTTAAAAATTTCCAAAAGCCACAAATATAACAACATCGAAGCAATGGGAAAATGAAACTTGTACCTCTCTGAATACAGCACAAAGGTTAAAAGTTCCAAGGTCTAGTCGAAGGCTGCCATCTTCGAGCCTCGAAACATCCAATACATCATTTATTAGAGTAGCAAGAAGATTACTACTTTTAAGAATTGTTTCAACCATCAGACGCTGTTCAGGTGTCAACTCAGTTTCCTGCAGCAAAGAAGATAGAGCAATAATCGCATGCATTGGGGTTCTCATCTCATGATTCATAACAGCCAAGAAATCATTTCGAGCACGAATTGCTGTCTCTGCTTCTCTTCTGGCTAGATCAAGTGCAACATTCTGCTCCATGAGAAGATCCCTAGCCCTCATTGACTCTTCTAAGATTGCAGCATGCGAAAGAGCAACTGCCACCTGAGTTCATTAGACAAATATACAAATAAGTAGCAATCTTAGAGGAAGAAACGTATCTACAGCCAGTAACCGAAAAGCAACAGAATGCAGCAACAAGAGAAAGGATAGAATGGAAATAGATAAAAATAGGGAAAGTAGAAAGAATCTCAAGATTAAATCTAATGTCTGATGATCACAATAACAACTGTTTATTGTCGTCAAACTACCAAACCTCAAAATATCTACACCTAGGACAAGTGCAGACAAAATCCTTTCAACAGAGGTTCTTCAATGCTGCATTTTCTTATGTGATATTCTTGTTCTTCCCATTGGAGACTCGGTGCAAATAACTGAAACCTAAAAAATAATTTAGGTAAACACATTTCATTTTTAAGTCAGGTTTGGAAGTAAACACCAAAATCCACCTAGCGCCCAAATTCCATAAATGATTAATGCAACAGCAGTGTCAAAGGATGTTCACAATTAACAACAATATCCCCCTATAGATGCAGTCCCTGAAAGTAGACCAAGCAGAAATAGATGCATGGAAGAAAAGGAAAAGCTTCGAAACTACAATAAAATATCAAAGCAGCTCCATACAGTTATCATTATCTCAAGTGAATTACAACTGGTCTAGATCAGAACAATTATAGTTGACCTGGGGATACCTACTAATGGATGTTCAAAAACGTGCACAGATGTGAAAGAGAGATGATTCTAAAGTAAATGACTATGTATGCACAAAACCCAAAAGTCAGTCACCTCTGGAAACTATCATAGACCTGACATTTTGCATCAAATGTGAATGGAAACCAAGTGAAGAAACTTCAATTTAACATTCACCAGATAAAACAAAATTCAAAAGCTAGAAGAAGAAAAGGATAGGAGGATGGCAAGACAGTATTAGCGCATGGTTAAGAAGCAAACAGGGCAATTTTTACCTGATCAGCAACCACTTCAACAAGCTCCAACTCATGAACATGCCATTGCCTTGCACTATCTGAAGGGAGCATCAAAACCATCAAAGCATAGCGTTTTGTTGAAAGTTCTGGCCAATCATTAATTTGGAAATTAGAGAGATGCAGGAGTGGGACACGGACAGCAACCACCTCCCCAGGCATACACTTCCCTACAACAGGCCGTAGTCTTGCCACGGGACAATTTGGGGATATTTTTACTGCACGACTGCTACTGAATACCTGATTGATCACAGGTAGATGAATGGGTACAGTATACCCAACTGGATTCTGTTGGCGAAGAGTGTATGAAAGTTGGAGCTCTAACCCAGTACGTGTTGGCATCCACAAGGCACATTCTTCTAGAGCCAAAGTTCGACCCAATTCAACAAGAGTGGTTTTTAGTATTGTATGTCTATCCAAAGTGCTTCTTATCTCATGAGTAAGCATCCTAACATGTCGACCTGTTTCCTCTTGTGTACGAATCAGACCCATTTCTCTATCAAGCTCTGCAGCCTTATTTTTCAAAAATACTTCTCTAGTTTTAACACTCAATAGATCAGGAATAATATGTACAAGCATCAAGGCAGTTGCACATGATACCACAGCAGTCAAAACCTTTGCAGTGGTCATTACTACTGCCACAGTTCTTGAATGCATTGTAAAAGTCCACAAGTTAATAAGATGTGTTGCCCCACAAAGTACTATAAAGGCTCCAAACTGCACAAGGACCCATCTATATGGAAACACAGCAGATTTCTTGACAAAGTATATAAGCTCTAAAGGGATTGAGAAATAAGCAAGTGCAATGAAGAAATCAGAAATATATTGATATTTCATCAACAGTTCATCCGCTGGCCACTGTGGCTCAATGCAGTTGCAAGACTCCATTCTGACTGAATTACCTAAGCCCTCACTTCCTCTTCATATACCTGAAAGGTAAAAGTACATCAACTACCAACCATTCAGGAGCATATAATCATTTCACAAACTCATTTGGTTCATGAGATAATAGAGAGGGTAGAATTATAATAATCACATTTGGTATTTACATGGAGAAAATACAGGATGTGAAATTGGATGAGTGATCCTCCTAGCATAGAACAAATCAGTCCTATTGACAAGGAAACAAGTATTTCATCCATGAGATTGGAAAAAGCATTTTACTTAAAAAAATATTTTTATTTTACCCTAAAAAGTTGCATTATTTTACCCTAAGCCCTCACTTCCTCTTCATATACCTGAAAGGTAAAAGTACATCAACTACCAACCATTCACGAGCATATAATCATTTCACAAACTCATTTGGTTCATGAGATAATAGAGAGGGTAGAATTATAATAATCACATTTGGTATTTACTTGGAGAAAATACAGGATGTGAAATTGGATGAGTGATCCTCCTAGTATAGAACAAATCAGTCCTATTGAAAAGGAAAGAAGTATTTCATCCCATGAGATTGGAAAATGCATTTTACTTAAAAAAAATATTTTTATTTTACCCTAAAAAGTTGCATTACTTTTGACTAAAAAATCCTAAGATTTAATTACACTTACACGAAACATGCAATAGGAAAAATTACTATATCCTATTTTTCATCTTGGTTAGACCGAATATAAGATGGGATAAGATCATATAATACTACCCACTTTCTAATCTTACCCTATCCTCCCCAGTGTCTTGCTTACTAAAAACACCCTTTTTTATGAAGTTAAATGTAGAAGTTGCAATTATAATCATATGCAAGTATTAAATATTACATCTCACATAAGAAATGACTAAACAGACAAACCAACCGACAAACCAGTACATAGATGGACAAATCCAACATAAAGTTGGACCAAACCCACACTAGGTGGGACTTGAACTGGGACCTCAAGGTTCCAGGGCCTCCTCCTTGCCACGGGAACAAGGCCTCATTGACACTAAACACAACCTTAAGCATACACAACAAAGAAATCAAAAGTAAGCAACACAGTTAAGAAAAGCTCATGCTGAGCAATAAAAGCACACCAAAGACACTTGACTACATGGATTCTGCGAGACTAACAAATATACACTAAATTATCAGGTTAAAAAATGAAAGACACAATAAATTTGACGCAAAAGAAAACCATTTCCCATGACTAAATTTTATAATAACAAGTACCAAAAAAAAAACAAAAAGGTTGCAAAAATCCAACAAGCAAATTGAGATGTAAAAACAAGCAGAAGACAATATAATAATGTAATTCACATAAATCCCTAATATCAGTTGATCCTAAAAAGACATATCCAAGTTCCAGAACCTGTGAAAACAAAGTCACATAACGAACTATGTCAGGAAAAGGATAAAGCAATCTCTAGTCAAGTTACATAAATATCTTCTATGGAAAATCAACAATCAAAACAACTTAAACTCATTAGACTAATTCCACAGCTCATATTTTCCTACCCCAAAGCATTAGTAAAGCAACAAAAAATAATATCTTTTATTTAATATTGGAAGAAAAAGCCTTGACCTGAGAAATCAGACAGAGAGGGAGAGGAAATGCTGGATTCGGAGAGAAGGGTACTTGTTGATTCTGAAAACAGTACAATTTAAATTATATAAAAAAAAAAAGAAGCGAGTTTCCATAAACACAACCTTACCCAAAAACCAATTATGATAGTAAATTTCTAGCTGGGACATCAAATTAATTTCCTAAACAAGCTGCCACAGCACAAATACAGATGTCCTAATCCAAAAGATACCCAAAAACAGTTAGAAAAAATCAAGTAAAATGAACATTAACAAATTAAAAAGGAAAGTAAGAGCAAATTACCTTGTTGGGTTTTTTTGTTTTTGGCAAGTTGTTTCCATTTAGACCCAAACCTTTGAGGATCTGCCCCTTGGAGGTCTTCGTTTCTTTTCTTTTATTTTTTCCTTCCCTTCGAGAGAGGGAGCAGAAAGTGGACACCAGCAACAAAGTAGGCGGCTTTTTGATGTTACCTCTCGGTGAGGTTTGATTAAGTAACAGACGGTCCAATCAGGTCGGTTTCGAGTCGTTCGTGAATGCAGTGGGCCCCCACCTGAGGTCCTGATGGATGGTGGAGACAAAGCTGACCGTGAAAGACGGGTAACTCTGTCAGCCTTAGCATATGGTAGTCTCTCCCAAAGACTCCGAGGTTACTCAACGGGATGACAACTGATATTCCTTTCTACTGTGAAATATCAAGACATTTCGGGTACCCCCCTCCCTCCCCCTTCTTACAAAAATAGGAAAGTTAAGTCCTTTTTTTTTTTAAAGATTTTTTTTCTTTTTGATTTTTATGAAATAAAAAAATATTAAATTTAACACATTAGAATTCGACCTAACAAATCTTATTAATTACAACTCATTATCCATACAAGTACCAATGATACTGTTCGTCCAAAGCTAAATCCTATAATAACTCTTCTTTAATAGTTATATGAGAAAATTTAATCATTTATTTTGACATGCGGTACTCTCTTATTGTTGTTCTCACGTGAAGAACCTCATCAAGACTTTTATAGATTATTATCTTATATTATATTAAAATATTTTATAAAATTAATTTCCTATGTCTATTAATGTGAAAAAAAATACTAAGGGTCGAAAAAGAAAAATAAACATAATTTTAAGACATCTAAACAAAAAAAAAATTTTGAGACGATGAAATAATAATTTTTGAATATCTACTTTTTTATGTAAGTTGAATTGTTGGATGCCGTCACGTTTTTCTCGTATCAATAAAAGAATAAAGCAAAGAGAAGTAAAGTAAGCATTGTTGATGGAGAGAAAAGCAGTCCTATTTCATTGCATTTATCATAAGAGAATAAGATGCTTGATGATAGATATACAAGGAAAAAGATTGTTATCAACTCTTTTCTTTTTATGAAATAAAGCGAAGGTAAACAATTAGAAATACCGGAACATTTAGCTCTCTCAATTATAAAAGAAAAAAAATAGAAAATGAATATATCTTTAAACATTAATATTTAATTTTAAGTATTAAAAAATTAATAAATATTATTATATAAATTATTTAATATTATTAAAATTAAAATTATAGTTTTTATGAAATCAGTCAATATAATTAAAATTTTTATTTATAAATTAATAATCATTTGATAAATACATATTTATAAGTATAGGTTTTATATTGCTTGCATAATTAATGGATATTAATATTTTTATAATGTTATACTAAAAAAGTGATGAGGCGAAATTTTTTTTTTTAAATTAGAACTTACTTTTCATTACATATATGTGGTCAAATGCTTTAAAAAATATCATTATTAAATTTATCTATTTTTATTTTCTTTTTTAATTTTAATCACAAATTAATGCAAATTTATTATTTTGTAATTAAATCTTATTTATCATTTAACTCCACCCATAAGGATGAAAAATATTTTCTAAGGAATGATCTAAACAATAAAAAACGGAAAGAGGGGCTAGTAAATCCTCGCCCCTCAAAGTTTTAAAATCTTTTCATTTTTCATTTTTTTAATTTTATAATTTTACTTTTATTTTTTAAAAAATTTTATAGTTTCGCCTTACAAACATTGAACTTATTTTCTTGGCTTCTCCAAATATGAAATCTTGACTCAACTATCGCAAATAAAAAAATATTTTTATCAATTTATCTAAATAATAAAAAATATTCAAATTTTTTATAAAATATTTTATTAAATTTTTTTCTCTAATAAATTATTTTTCGATTATGATATTTACATATTTTCTTAATTCATAGTATCAGAGAGACCGACCACAGGCCCATCCACCCAACAAAACTAAAAGCCACATAGGCCCAGCAAACCCTTGAATAAAATTTTGGATTTAAATCAAAGTGTTTAATTAATTGAAACGATACCCAACCCTACCTGAGTAAAATCATTTGCCACATACTAAAGGCTAATGGGTTAACTAGGCCCAAAAATATACTGGGCCATTGTCATGGGCCTGTTGGAATGGAATGTAAGCAACTCAATAAATTTACCATACAAGGCCTAAAACAAAAGAAGCCCAAAACACTGGATACAGGCTTTTAGCCATTGAATTATTAAATAATTGTTTTTCTCTCATATTCCAACTGAAAATGAAAAGGAAAAAATATTTTAAAGATAAAATTATTAAGTAATTGTTTTCTTCCAATTTTCTCACCATTTCCTTCATTTCTCTTTCTTTTAGTACAAGATTTATGCCTGATTTTTGTGTTTTGTTGGAGAAGAAGATTTAAGCATAATAATAATAATAATAATAATAATTTTAGTCAATGAATTTTTTTTTTAAACTGGGCTCAATCAAAACCTCACAATATTTAAGCATTTATTATGAATAAAGGGGAAAAAAAAAGAAACTCATTTTTCCAAGTCAAATAATTTGAATCAGCAACCACATAATTATTTTGCATGTGCTAATTTCATGCACCTTATCTCCAAACCGACCTATTTGTAATTGGTCCCCAGGATTCATTCAACATGTAGGAAAAAGAAAATCTAAAAGAATGGGAAAGAACACTTAAATAAGTGACAAAATAATAAATGCCTTGCCTAATCATTGTCCAAAACCTAGATATTCCAAACACACACACACAAAAAAAAAAAGAAATTTAAATTTGAATTTGAATTTTCCCTAATTTTTACAATACTTAATTAAAAACCAACCATTTCTAAGATTCAAATATTTTCTCAAATGAATGATGCAGTATTGCAATTGATTTAGCAGAGAAGAATTAGAGTAGAGATGGAAAATAAAATTAAATGATCATTAGGCTTGAATTATTCAATTTGAGGTAATCTTTTCTTAAGATTTGAACTTAATACAACCACTAATTCAGTTAATACTCCAAATAAAAACATTAAAAATAATTAATTCAATTAACAAGAGTATATTAAGAATTAGATAAACATCTTAAATTTCAGGAATAATGAAATTTTCACAAAAACACATACATAAGTAAATTATTATAATGAACTTACACTCGAATATTTAGTTTATTGATTGATACATGATTTTTTTGTTAAAAAGAATGAAATTCAAATAACCCTCTTCCTAATTTCAAATAAAAATATTATTCTTTCCGCTTCCAAATCGAATATCTTTTTGATTAAATAAGTAAATTATTAATGATTTCATATAAAACATAAGGTGAATCAAAAGCAAGCATTTGATTGGGTAGCAAAAGCAAGAGGGTTTGGAGTTGACAAAATGACAAAAAGTAAAAGCAAAGTGGAAAGAAGACGGTCGGTCCATGTTAATTTTCAAAACGCATGCAATACGAAATGGACCAAAGTTTCCAAAACCATAATTCCATAAGCAAAAAAGGTTGGAACAAAATTTGACATCTGCTCATACATGATGTTTCTTAGAAATTTCCACAAGAAAAATATCAAGGAAAAAGATGAGAAATTGACAAGTCTCGAGTTAGGTAAAGCCATAGAGGATTCTTGCGAAGACTCGTTCTTACATCTCCATGATACACACGTCTTTTTTCTTTTTTCTTTTTTCTTTTTTTTTGTGTCATAATCAAAACTTTCCTTGGCACAAAACGTAGACTGCCGTTGGTTTAGTAGGAACGGAAAGCTCTCACTTCTGACTGTTCAGATCAGTCGGTTATTGAGTCAAAAACACGGCGACAGACACGCGTCGAGCCGTGTCTGGCAGATCATCAAGGAACAGACACGTATCAGGTGGAAGGTCTTGTCGGAAACACCAGACTTGGGGTACGTGGCATCAGATTAACGGCCTAGTACTCTTGGCGGCAGTTTATGGGGAACTGTTACGTTGGGCCAAAAATCTTACATCGTCTTTTGCTTTTTTTTAAAAAACATTTGTTGCATTAAAATGTGACGATCAAAGGAATAATGTCGATGGTGATAGGCATGATGGGACGTTGGGACTTAGCCAAGCATTAAAATGACCAATCTTCGTTGGCCTCATCTTCCAAAGGTTAAGAGAATCGATTAAAGAAAATAACCAAAGAACAAATGAAAAAAAAAAGGGAACAGCTTAAAGCATAGAGAAAAAAATTTTGATGGGATTACTTGTGTTGTTAAAGTTGATTTATCATCTCTTTCTTTCGGTTCAAAGAAAACAAGTAGCTTTTCTTTGTTGGGATTCTTCTTCTTCTTATCAACAATTTACAGTGCCCTATTAACCTTTTTGAGTAAAGCACGATTCTTTCTTGCTCAATAACATGCCTATGAACTGTGCAATACCATTTCTATCTTATCATATTAAGGGTATGTTATATTTTCATATTAAGATTAGCATAGGAATAAAGCATTCCCCATTTCTTCTTCTGGGCTATTAAGGTTCTCTCGGGCTATCAAAGAAAGGAAAATTAACAATGAATCCATATGCTTTGGCTTCTCAGATGTATTTAAATATTGAAGTAAATCTCTTTTACTAGTATTTCAAGATGGTGGGAAAGTTATTAGAAAATAATATATATATATATATATATAAATATTATGGAGGTCTACTTTAATGGTGATTATGTCAAAAAGCTTGAAGTTTAAATAAAGTTTTACAAATCTTAACCACCTGCGGTCATTGATTACGTTGGAAATCTTTAACTTGGACGGCTCTATCAACTTTATTAGAGTCTCTATCTTCAATATTATTATATCTTCTAATCTAATTAAACTATTATCCATTAGTTAACTATAACTCATAGTATGTATTTTTAATTCATTCAAAAGGGCAAAGGATTCCTACGTAGGCTTTTCTTGTTATGTACAAAAAAAGAGAAAAGCTAAGCTTAAAGAATTCAAACAATCACGATTAACAAGATAAGGCTCATACCATTTTAAGTAATACACGAATATTGTATATCTTGATTAGGTCATTAAGATTAGGTATATGAACTTCAATTTTGATTTTTATGCTTAAACCGCGTTTCTAATCAATCTAATTAAAATAATAATAAGTAATTTGTACTAACAATAAAAACTTTATTAGGTTCTTAATGTCTACATGGAGTTTCCAACTTCACATGTGAATGGGGAATGATCACATGTACGGACCTAAAATTCCATCCACACATTTTTCCAATGGAAACTAAAAGTGTGCCGATTTGGAGGAGGGGTAGGTACAAAATGTTTATATTGTGCATATTATAAGCATT